CTATCACCCCCACCTGCCGCCAAAAAAAGCAACCTACGTTGGTTATTCACAAAAGCATAAGACCCCTGCAATAGCAAGTTTTTTTATAGTGACATTTTAATGGCAGCACAGGTGTAAAAAAGTGACCAACTTATTTATTACATTTTAGAAGATGAAGACGCAGACAGAATGGTGTTTATTAGTATTAAATGACCTACCCTGAATATCATCCTTTTCGTGCAGTGAACCCCCAGACTCCACAGAAAGATTCTCAAAAGACTGGTGTATAAGAAACAAAACATTAAATTAGGGAAGAAAAGCTCTTACTAGAACTGACAGGGTAACAAAAATGGCATCATCCACCCCTTGTTTTTTGCAGACAAAGCAACAAACTGTGCTGTAACTCCCTCTCATCTAAGGCACAATACCTTCTAAACTCCCATAGCTGTTGACTGAGACATAATAAATAGAAAGGAATCATTGTATACCTTTAAACCAATGAACTTGAAAGGCTGTGATGAAAGAGCTAATTGTTTACAAACTGGGTTTTATTTAAGTGACCTCCAGCTCTTCTTAGATCCCTACCTATCTTTTAAAAAGCATTTCATACAGACTTATGTCACATACATATAGCAGACACCATTTGAGTCCTGTGTTTCGACTTGCAGGTGTGCACTGCAGGCACAACAGCTGACTAGTAACACTTGCTAATGAAGCCTTGACAATCAGTACAACTTGACAGAGTTTAATCCAATAATAAAAGGAATTTAGCACAAGATTTCATCCCTACCTTTGTCTTCGTGCTGCACTTTGCTACGCCTTTAATTATGCAAGTTGAACTATTTGTAGGACTGTGCTGTAAACCAGGGCACTGAACAAATTTAGATGAATAAGAAGTTTACCTAGAAACCACCCCCCCATTAAAAACAAAACCAAAACCCCCACAACCCTACATAATTTTAAATGAATAAACTACTCCTGAGAACTGGGAAGCAAAAAGCAGGCAGAAGACAAAGCCTGAGAAATAGCTACAAAGTGGCCTTCAGCTTTACAAGAACAGTTTGTTTCCATTTTAGTAGACTTTAGTGTGGTTTTATTTTCAGACTTAAAGCTAAAATAGAGCACAGTAACAATGTTGCAAGTAGGGTTTTTGTGTTTGTTTTCAATGTAAATGGAAACTGATCAATCACACAAAAATCCCTCCACTGTTGTTTATTTCACAGCAAAAGTAGCTTTTTCATATATCAAAACATGCAAGATATCAATCATCAATTACATTGAACAGAATCAAGTTACAATCTAAAGAACAGCACCATTCCTAAGAAAGTAGAAGACTGGTACAATTGCTGTCTTAAAAAAAAAAAAAGAGAGAGAGAGATTCCGTAAAATGGAAGGGCTTTCTCAGAACAGGTGGGAAATACATCCAAAGCTGACTATCAGCCAAATGGTAAAAAAGATAAATCTGAATTTAGAGATAGATCAATATTTGTAATGAAAGGTCAGACATGCCTGTCTTGGTTCCTCCAATGTATTCTAAAGCTCTTCTGTTTTTAATCAAGAAATATCTTTGTTTCCACCTTGTACTTCTGGTTGTACTACAAGGGCTAAAATGAGAACAATTACATTTGCTAAGAGGGGGTATACATATCATTTAACTTAAGCTTCCAAGTGGAATGCCTGAACTAAAGAATGTAGACTCCCCTGCAGCCAAGAGAAGCAAGATCAGCTTCCCCCTGCCCCCCCACCTTAGAGCAATCCTCAAGAGCTTAGTTAGGGAGGTCCCTAACTTAACAGGCAATTAAAAGCTTTCTCCTTAATTAACCCTCAAAGCATTTACATGTTAAATTCTACCAAAATGTTACACTCTTTTTAAGATACAGGTAGCTGCTATGTTCAACCCCTGAATGTACACATCTACAGGAATGAAAGGTTAATACAACTACTTAAATATTTTGCATTTAACTCCTCCTAACACTCAGCTTCTAGTTGGCCTCCAAATTACTCTCTGAATTGCAAATCAAAGTGAAATGCTTCATCTGTTAAATATGCGTTTATTTGACTAAATGAAAATGCACTTAAATTTAGAGAGACTTCCAAGAAATTAAACCATATTGTAAATTTTGGAGCAGGTAGGATAATTTTTCCCTTCCACATCAGGAAAAGCAAATGATCCTACAAAAAGGGGCTTTTTAAATATAAGCTGTTGATTTCTGGAGCATCTAGAATAGAATTCCTTCTTCATTTTGCTATATTCTGATTTCCCCTTGGTCTTCTCCCACACCCACATTCAGAAGAATGATCCTTCAGTCAAGCATTCATTTCACAATACAATACATGGGACCATCTTCTTCCACAGGAACACATTTTTGCATTGCAAAGCCTTTACAAGATTAAGATATTGGCAAATTCAGCACCTTTCTTCTGCTGGTGAACCAATTAGCTGAAATGGTACTTGTTCAAATCACCTCATTTAAGTTACATGAGATGTTGGCTTCTATGCTATTTTATTTCATACTTTTTATCAGCAACCTAATCCTCTGATTCTAAGTCTGCTGGAACCAGTTTTCTGAATAGCCTCCTACCCCTCCAGGTTGTTTGTGAAGATGAGTTTTGTATCAGCCACAGAAGTAGAACTTCTGTGATCATCTTTCTCACATGTGCAATATCAAACATAGTGAAAATTTAAAAAGACTGCTTCTCAGCTGTAGCTGCACAGCATTGCTATGATCAAGCCTGTGTGATGGAATCTATAAGCCTTAAGTACATTTCAATGAAGCCTTTAAACCCAACAATCTAAAACTTTTAACCTTGCTACAACTCAGCTTGTCATACACACCAACTACCAACTGCATTTTCCTTGCATGTTAACTTTTGACTTGATTCAAATTCTGCTTCTAGATACACAAAAATTCAGAGCAGAATTTGGTACTGAGCATTTTTTTAATCTCCCCTTCAAAGTGTTTAAAGGGGAGTTTAAAACACTAATGTTTTTCTTTGACTACCTATAAGTTGACAGTGCTATTTCAGTTCTCTCTGTGAATTGCTGTTGAAACAGCTACAGCACAAACTGGGCTCTTGAAGAAGAAAAGGTTATTTTGTAATGAACGTTAGTCTTTAAAAGCCAAAAAGAAGTCATTAAGTCTTTAGCTTCTAGGTCTAAAAGGTCTATTCTAACTAGTCCAGCATGCAAATCATTCAAGTATCTTACTTGTATTTAGTTATTTTCACTTAACCAATTTATAAGTCTCAAATACAATTACAGCAGGTTTTCATTTACATATTTGAGCCCCAGCCCCACTGAGTCATCACTAGCATTTAGAACAGAGAATACATTCAAGTATCTGAAACCTCGAATGCATTTTTTGCAGATTTTTATCTTGTTTTAACACTCAGAAGACACCAAGTGCCCTAGCCTCACGTTGCAGAGAGTTTCACTGGGAATGAAAATCTCCTTTCAAAGATCTAATTCCACACTTCAAGAAAACGTGTTTAGCCTACCCGACTTCTCTGAGATACAGGAAGTCCCAATGACGAGCCATTGTCTACATCTCCCATAAGGAAGTCTGAAACACTGCCACAAAAACAAAGAATTGTGTTACTTCATTACTTTACCTCACCAATCAATTTCAGATTACAGAGAACAACAACAACAAAAAAAAAATATCAGATTGTGTTTTCAATATCCTTTAAAAGTTCTGCAAACAATTTTTAGAAGTAGTCTTATATTCCCTACAATTTCTATACCATCACATTTTCTTTGTTAAGAAAACAAAACAAACATGCAAACAAAGCAGTAAAACTGTTCTGTATGTGGCCAATTTAAATTAGTTTATCAGCTAATATTTGTCCAAAATAAAACTATAGTTTTTGTTATTGTTGTTTAGTCTTAATTTGATTCAGTTCCACTGAGCTCTTTAAAAACTTCATCTGGATTCCAACTTACATGTTTCCAAAGGTGAATGCCAATGTTTCAATGGAAGAAAATATTTCACTAAAAAGTTCTCTCTTGTTTTCTTCATTAACTTCTTTGAAGTTCACCGCTTGGGAAAAAAATGAAAACCAAAGGGTGAGAGGTGGAGTCAATCAAGCAAGTTTACTAGGCCTCAAGACAAGTTTCATACAGAGTCTCCTACAGAGCATGCAACATTATACTTTGCTGAACAATTGAAAAAAAAACCCAGAGTTTTTTAAAAAAAGACTAGTAAGAAAGTAAACACTAAAGGAAAAATTAACACAACCCAGATGCTTCCCACAATGAAATCAGATTACTCTCTCACTTCCTATATCTTTTCCCACTTAAGCAGCAGCTTTGTGTGGGAACACGATGGTAATGTGGGGGGAAGAGAAAACCAGTCATTTACCAGCAAGAGTCAAACCACGCAGCAGCAAGCAACACCACAAAGCAGCTCACAAACGCAGTCAAATATTTGAAAAACTGCTTCTTTTCCAGGTAAAAATTTCAGAATTCAGGAGAGAAATTTGTGGAGGTGCCCCTCCCACCCCCACAAGCATATGGGATCCTGTGTATCCATCCAGAACACAGGATTTCTGGCTTGAGTACAAACAGAAAGCTATCAAAAAGTGTCCATTGCAGAATCCTTTAATTATTAGCTCCATATTCTGGGAAGAGCCCCTCAGCTTTGCCTGTTAAAAGTGGAGAAGAAACTCAGCATAACTATTGCTGTGTCAAATAGGAAAGGGAATGTTCCTGGACAAACTAGATGGTTTAAACTGGTGATCAAAGACCAGTATTTAGGTGCTCAGCACTGAGCCTTTAACATGCTTCCATGACAAACTGGAATAATGACACAAGACAAATGATTCATCCAGAGTTTTTATTAACAACTACTGGACAAGGGGTAGGAAGGAGAAAAGAGAAGACAAAAAGCACAACTATTTTTGTCAGTTTCCAACTTCACTGCTTAATCATTGGCGATTGGGAAATTTTTTGTAGAGAAGTTGTGTACACTCCTTTAAGTCCTCTGGATGGATGTTTTCCAAATTTACATTGCGAGAAATTACAATTCTGCACAAGTATTTATTTTTAAAAAGGGGTTGGTTTTTTTTTGCAATGCAATATTCTGAATTAGCTAGATGCCCAAGTCACACTTATAATCATCTGTTTCTGAGATACTGCAATGACACACATACAGCTTTTCACCCCTATCCATCACTTTTCGCAAGACCTGTGACAGTGGTAATTTATGTATCCTCCTTATATTTCAAGTACAAGGACAGAAATGACAGACTGCAATGACTTCTAGAAGCAGCAAAAATTAAATCATGTTAAAATGCTGCCTATTCTATACACATTTTCTTAGCAAATTAAAGTAACAGACTTTAATCTTTAAAAGTATTCAAACTTCCTGCCAGGTGCCTAAACACTAACGGGTAACAAACAAAGAAAGTACAGTAATCTGTTCCCCCATTAGACTTCCTTTGTGAAAGGAAAAGTTTTTAAGCAGTAAATTAACACAGTTGAATCCATTCCTTTTTATACAGCATGCCAACAGGCCTGATCAACATTTTTATAACTATTTCTATACAAAGCTATTACGGAAAATAAGTATTCTTCTCATGGGCTATTTTCACAATTACTTGCAGACCTGGAAGAATGTGTTGTAATAAGTCTACAACAACAAAAAAATTGCCACATATTACAAAAATATTAACAGCCCCTGTTGCCACAGTTCACTGCTAAATTAAGGCTTCTCCTACCTCTTCATTCTTCTACACTTCATAATTACATTTAAAAAATGCCTTTGGCACCTTTGTTTGAAATGAGACTCAATAAAGCTCCACAGATGAGAATTTTTTTAACAATTTCGTAAATAGCAGTGGATTTATTTTTTAAAATTCAGGTTAGTTGAAAACCTCAGTTTCCCAGAGATAACACTGCTTATAAATCTAAACTTTGCATTCCAAATCATTAAGCAACAACAGTTACTATGAGATCTATTGATTACCAGCCACTAATGACTGGAAAAATCATTTGACTGCCAGCATGAAATGTAAACTAGTTCAAAATTAAAAGTAACTAACAAAAACTGTCTATACATTCAAAGCACTTACCACTGAAACATTCTTATATCCTTAGCTGCAGTGTCTTCAGAGAAAGAGCACTTCTTTCACTTTGCTAACGAGACATTAATACAGATAGCCGCTCCCTAAAGAAGTGCTGTCTGCTTCACTCTGCCTTCCTGTTCCAGGAAGAGTTTTGTTAAGCTTTACACTTTATGTCCCAGAGAAATCCTTTCTTTTCAGGATCCATCACAAATGGAATAACCAGTCTCAAATCTTTCATAAGTATCACTTCTCCCAAAAAAGGGTAGTCCAAGCTCTTAGTAATTCAGTGGAATACAAGCAGCTTTCTTCTAGTTTACTACCACTGGAATGCTCATGTACTTAACATCAACTTTAAACCACGCACGCTCTTTCCCCAGGACATCCTGACTGCACACAATAGCTACTGACAACAATGAACTACAGTAATCTTTCCGTGTCTGGAAATGACAGCTATCTATCTATAGTTCTACAGATTTCAAAGCAAGTACACAACTTAACAACGCTTTTAAGTAAGACTTCAGATGGCACACAGTGAACTTAAAAAAAAAAGATACGATAGCAATACATTAAAATCCAGAATCTAGTACCTGAAATGCAAGCCTAGCTTGCATTAAAGTGGCTCTATATTTCCAAAGCTAGCAAAGCTGTCTTCAAACTGATGTGGGGTTGGTAATCTCATCAAAATGCTGCAAGACACTGCAAAATTTCAACTTTTGGGTCACGCCATCAAAAGCTTTCTGAATCAAGCACAGAACAGGCTGGGTACCAGCAACAGCCATGGAAGTTTTGGAAGCCAGAATCCCAGAAGCTGAAGTAGCCCCTGAGGACATTTGGGTAATGCTTCTGCAACTATGAAGAAGAGGCTGTCAGCTGTCAAGACCAAAGTGCAACCAGGGCCTTGAAGAGATCATAGACACTTCACAGCAGCCACAGCACACAACCTTCTGCGATGCTCTCTTGTTGCTTACAGTCAAATCAAGATAGCACAGCCCAGGAAACCCAGGGGACACAGCCATGCCGGAGCCTGCAGGAGTTCACTTACTTCCTCCTTCCCCCTCCCCATAGACACGTGCGGGACTGGCAGCACCAAAGCTTCCTTTCCAACTCTCTGCAGAGCCTGGACAAGTCTGAACTACACCAGCTTGCATAATTTACTCTTTGCAGGTCAATCTTCTCATACTTAATAGAAAGATAGGGTAACACCACTATTTCCTTAGACAGGAATACATCTTCAATCCATGCTTTACTAGCTGACTTTTAAGCAGTAAGCAACTGGCTGACTCACTAGAACTGAACACTTTTGCAACTGATTTTCTGTCCTTAAACTTCCAACAATGCTTTCACAAACCCTTCAGAACTATTTCAAAAAGAAAAAACACCACCCAAGCAAACAAATAAACCAACCAAGACTAAAAAAACCTCTCTCTCCCCAAAATGAAAATTTGTCATACTTCTTGTCATTACCTCTCATCTTTAGAAACATGGTAAAAAATATGAGGGGAAGAACCTGAGTAAAGAACAGTAGCATGCAGACTGGAAAGAGGCAGAACAGTATTCTCAGTATCTCACAGCTAGAGAGGCTCAGCTGGCTGCCCAGGCCCCACTGTTCTACTTTTAGTTCTCTGTGCCATATAATTTCACCAGCCTGTACTTACTACCAAGTTTGGCAGCATCCCCAACTTTAGCTAGATGCCAAGACAAGTTTGAGCAACTGTTTCCTACTCCCCCCACAATAAATTTTGCTCTGAATTTACATCACAGATACACCAACAAAATTGAAATTACTTCACCTTGCTAGAGGTATTTAACTTGGATGCAGAACTATTAGGAAAAAAACATACCTAAAAAAGAAATATTTCTACAAAATAAGTGCAATTGTCAGCTTTACCAGGAATCTGCATTCATTCTAGAGATTCAGATAAGTCAAAAGGTGCAATTTAAAGCAGAAGAACAGTACAAACTTGAATTCAGCATAGGATCAGAGAACCACATACTCTGTGGCCATCAACTATTTAAAGACATCGAGTGCGACATAACAACGATGAGTCTGACTGTGTGCAAGACTGGGAAGTGACTTCCAGAAGTAGGAGTCTAAACAGGTTGCAGGCAAGACACTTCAGTAAGTCTCAATTCTTCCAGATCAAGTGAGGTATCATTTAAAAGACACCCTTCACAAAGCAGTCAAATAAGTATGGATGAGTAGTAGAGTCCAAGCAAAGAGGCCCAGTGAACCACATCATATTTAAGATAACCAGAGAAATCAGGCTTCCCACGCTGCCCCCCCCATTCTCCTGCAACCTCAGTCTAAAATGGTAGAAGTCTGACATTATCTACTCTGCCAAACATCATTCTCTGTAGCAAGATTAAGATAACACGCTATATCTAGTTTTTCCTTCAATCTGTCCAAAAGGAAAAGCACTGGACATCCAAAGCAGAACTACAAGCACATTGATGTAATTCCCACTGAAGGGCCTGAGAAATGACTGAGAGTCTTGAAGGAGGGGCACAAGCACTCTAATTTTTGCTAGCATTAAAAATATTCCCACTTGCAGTTAAAGGGGATGGTCTGTCTGCACTAGACATTATGTTTAAATCACAGTGCAACTTGTCATTCTCTTACGAAAATACTTCACAAGCCAGAATCACTAAGAGTCCCTGGTTCCAGAGTTGTTATAACTGATTTCATTAAGAGCAAAGGCATTTGTTAAAATAACCATTTGTCCCTATATGAAGTTCTGAATACAAACTAGATTTGGAACCTTGACATTATGCAAAGATTTGAAAACATCTTTCTAAAACCTAAACCAGTTATGCTTCTTTTTCTGAAGGAGGGGGGGAGGGGGCAATCGCATGTAAATCCCAGCTTATATCTATGTCATACTCTCCTAAATAAACATCAGAAGTTTTCCATGCCAGGTTAATCTTCTTCCTAGTCATAAATCTGACTACAGAACGCTTCCACATCTTTTTATAGTTCTGTCCTCCAGTAACAAGAAACAGATGAGTCAGATGAACTTCTTTCATAATGTCACATTAACACAGCCTGGGAAGACAGAGGAAAAAGGATACTGTTCTGTCCTACCAGCTCCTCACGTTCTTGTAGCTTCCTGTTTATTAAAAAGTTACATTACTTCTAGTGAAATAAGCACAGCTGAAAATCTAGGAAGGCATGTGTTACTGACAGGCCACTATAAGCAAACTTGAGGTCTGATACGATTCACCACAACACGCTGTATTTTTTACTTCAGCTTCCTCAGTTCCAGCAGCGGTACGCTTCAGTTTGAATACAAACACAGAGCAGTAGGATCCTCACACAAAAACCAGCTGCAAAACCTGAACAGGTGCTAAAGACAAACTGCCTTCACATTTGCCACAGGTTATATGCTAGGGGGAGGCAGGCCATTTTCATATGGCAAAGGTTTTGTTGTTCTCAGAGTACTAGGACTGAAATACCAATTGGAAAGAGCTGAAGCCCTGTAACTCCCTGTTTCCATCTCTAGACACGTGAGGAATACAATACGTGTCTGAGGAAACACTGATAGGCATTATTGAAGTCTTCATATGAAGTACTTGTTTATATCAAAGGCTACAAATATTGAGACAGGACTGACACTGTGATCAGGAGCTTCCTTTCCTCGCCATTAACCTGGGAACTCCGTGAGGCCAGGTCACAGGAATGACAATTCACCACAGAGTGAGTTTGCTTTAGCCAAAGAACAACTAGACATTTTACACCAGCCTCTCTGTTCTAAGTCCAGAACGTATGCTGCTTATGAGGCAGGCGAATAACTCAATGAGAAACTAGTGAGAAAGCTATGAACAGCAATTGCACGCCATAATCCTTTATTCCATTTGAAAACACTTTCCTCTATTCAAGCTGGAAGAGCACACTTGTATCAGATCAGCACTGAATCAGAAAATGTATGAAACACCAATGCATCTGCCTGGGGTTCAGACTTATTGAAACTGTATGACGGAACAGTGTGCACCAAGAAGAGAAAAAGATATGTACAGCATCAAATTCAGAAGGCTGCAAGTACTCTGGAGGAATGGGTTATGTAATTCAACAAAATGCTTAATTGTCCACTTCAGAAGTAGAAGGGTAGGAGGGAGAATACATAAATCTAGATCTGGAAAACTGGTTCAGCACTAGAAGTACAGAAAGTGACCTTGGACTTATCATGGACTCTAAATTGAACACAGAAATTGACAGAAAGACCAACATAATTATGGAATCGAACAACAATGTTACCGTGTGAGACAAGGAAAGTAATTCTACTGTTTTACTCTGTAATGATAAACTTGGACAGTATAGACAGTGATCAATTTGGGGCATTGCATATCAAGAACAACCTTGATAGACTGTGTAGTCCAGAGAGGATAGATATTACTGGAATATTTTTTGGAAACATGATTTAATAAGGGTTGATGTAATTTGATTTACTTGCATACTTTAAGTCAGTTCTCTTAAACATTTCTTAAACTACAGAAAGAGCAGTTGAATATTGTCCTGTGTCCACTGAAATAAAGACGGAGTGGAAGATGCACATATCTTACCGTAGCACTTAAGCATGGAAATGGCTTGTCTAAGGTGGATGTAGAACGATGTGCACTAAACATTTAACCTGTTCTCATGTGTAAATATCTGATTACCATTGGACACATGCACTTAGCTCTTCCTGAGATCAACAAGACAGACAACAACCTCCCAGGGTATCCTCTGCATTTCTACTGTTTGTACAATTCTCTAAGGCAAGTTCAGAAGTTGCAGAGTTATAATCCTGTGACCATTTCAAATACCAGGGACAGAACTATAGGAAACTCTACGCGTAGCAGGAAGAAAATGCAAAGTGGGCTGCTAGTACATGCCAAGATCAAACTGGCAAAACTATGTATCAATAGGAAAAATCCGTAAGAAGCTTGGAAGAATCCAAGATATAGGAATCAGGCAGCTAACACGTTAGTATTTTAACTGATAATCCTACTTTCCTCTATCAGCAGTGTATGTTCAGACATACTAAAATAATTAGCAAATAAGAGGAAAACCAACTAAGTTATGCATCTCTGAAGCAAGAGGTGGAGTTTTAACCCTACTCAAAGGATTCTGCATGCCACATGGAAGAAACTGTACTGGTTCCACAGCGATATACTGAACTTATTCCAGAGTAGGGAGAGCTGCAGTCAAAGGCCACACAGAGGAGAAACAGCTGTGGCTTATGGGGCTGGAGCAATTGTGTGCTTCACCATTTACATTTGTCTAACATGGAAAGAACTGCAGCAGCAAAGGCCAGCAATAGAAAAATATTAACATATACGTCTGCAAGGCTTTTTTTGTTGCTGTTGACACCTTTCCATGCTCATGATCTGTCTGTGGAATTTATAACTGTTAGGCCATTCAGATTTGGATTGCTCGTTTAGATATTTCTTTACTTCATATAAATACAACACCATCCTTACATCCATACGGATTCACAGAATCAAGAGATTTGCCAAAAGTCTCTGCTATGTGGATAAATGCGAGGTTTATTATTCTGTGGTATTATCCTATGATACACAGGCAAAAAAAAGCTAAAGATCAAAGGCTTGTGCTTTTGGAGTTTGGTGTGGGTTTGCAGCTAGCTTTCTATAAGCAGAATTTTATTACATCATCAGGCAAACAAGGTGTTTAATATTGCTTTTCACTTAGAGAAGGTATTTTTAAACAAGCGTTAAGATGATACTCTTAAAAAACCCCCCCTTTTTCTTCTGTATGTATAGAATCCTATTTATAACTGCAAGCCAGAGTCCACCAAGTCACTAATTACAATTTTCCAAGAATACGAAAGGTAGTAAATTCCTTACCTTTTACTTTTGCAATAACTGTTCCTGCAGCACTTAGAATATCAACCGAGTTTAGAATCTGATGTTTATTTATCACTGCTTTTAAAACACGTAGCAACTCGCCCAGGCGCTCATGTACTACCTGATGCAGGCCATCTTGATTTTCTGAAAAAAAGTAAAAGGAGAAACTACATCAAAACTGAATTAACACCCAATCACATTACAAACCACCTTGATTGTATTCAGCTGCACTGAAGTCTAGGCCATATGGAAGCTGGGCCTGCTTAGGACAAACAAATTGTTAAAAAAGAGAGAGTTATATTAGCATTTGCAAACACTTTACTTGCAACATTGTATGCTGTTTACACATAAATTCATTTCTCCCAAAACATCAAGTATACTTAAAAAAAATCCCAACCAACCAAAAAGGACTCTACACCAATACCCAAAGGTTTCTGAATTAAACCATCTTTTTCTCATGTCATTTCATCAACCACCATTTTGATAATTACATATATTCAAAAAAGAGTATCAACAAAAGCAGATTTGGATTGCTCATTAGGTATTTCTTCACCTGATACAAACTCAACACTATTTCTGTATATTCATAGAATTAAACAAAGATTTTGGGAAGTTTTGGCTAGCTTTTAACTCAAGTGTCAGTCAAATCTCAAGCACCTTTAGTATATAAGCCTAGATATACAAAGGTCTGTCTGTAAGCATGTCAGTCCTGATAAAGAAGTTGAACATCTGAATTAATTTTGTGGAATTAGGACTAATCAGAAAAATTCTCAAACAAGTACACATATAGGGTGATGTTTTATACAGCATATGCCTCTTGCTGTGTGCCCCTAAATACCGCCCCCCCCATTGAAAAAAAAATAGTTCTCATTGCATACATGGCACAGGTTTAACAGGTTTAAACCACAAGCTCTTCTGTTACAGTAGAGGTGCTGGTACATGGAGTTAGTTTCACATGCAGTAGAGCGCTGCATTGCAAGTTGTAGTAAAAAGCTTTCAAATTCAGGAAAGTCTAGCTTATGAAAAGAAAAAGAGGATCTAATACAAGCTGACTCATTTCCCCACCGAGCAAAAAGGAATGGCAATTCTGTGTTGTCTGTGGCCATGATAACAAACAGGTCAATCCAGACAATTACAGTACAGTGCAGATTGATCCGGTGTTAGAGAACAGTTTCAAAATTAAGCCATTTTGTTCCAGCTACAGGACATTATATTTGGGCTAGAGGCACCTAAACTCTTCTGAGGAATCAACAAAGTACAACATGACACATCAAGTACAGTATATCACTACTGTCAGGTGGGGAGGTGAGGGGACTACATACAAACACATGTGATTCTATCAAGTGCAAAAGCAAGCCTGCTGAGGACCACTGTGCTTCAGGCTTTATCTTCCTAGATGTCAAATATCAGGAGATTTTTTTTTCCAAGTTAGACTAGCTTATACACGGTCAAAGGAAAAATCTTGACTCAGGAAGCGGACTAAGGCAAAAACTTTATCGACCACTCACCAGCACTTTGCATGTGTTTTCCTGCTGGAGGGGAGAAGGAAGCTTTATCCTTAACAGGACACACAGAAGTCTAGGGAAACCCATTTTACACAACAGTAAATTAAGAAAGCTCTACGTAATTTATTAAAGAAACATAGTTATGGTTTTATTGTCATTTACAGGTATAGATAATGTTTTTTAACTGAGGACACAAACACAGCAAAGGCAAAAAAAAAGGTCAAGAGGCTGGTACTAAAAGTGGCTACGACTCAGTACATACACATACAGTAGCAGAGGTAGTTTGTGACAAACACACGTTGATCTAAAGGCATACTATAGCTCAGAGTTTGGAACTTAATGGGGAAAGCAATCCAAGCTTGAAGCAGTCTCCACGCAAGCAGTAACAGCAGAAGCTGGGACCTTGGATAAGAAATGATGTACAGGGGATATGAAAGAATATTAGCAAATCATGAAAGGCATGAAAACAGTGGATGGAATCAATCGCTTACCAATGTCTTTCAGTTAAATACAGCACACCTCAGATGATTAAACAGAGCAAGCAGGAGCCAGATTCAAAACAGAAAAGGGTGCTGCTTTGTGTAAGAGACCTGTGGAATTTCTTGTCAGAACACAGCGCTGACAAGAAGTTTACGTGGAAACAAGGAGAGACAAGTTCTCCTAAGTTTCCTTAGGAGTCTCCTGGGGGGTACTAATGAGGCAATAAATGTCTTACTGGGTGAGGCCATGGGTCCAGCCAGCCTGTGCCTTACGCAGCAGTGGGCGATGCTGCTTAGGAGACTAGAGAAGGCTGGGTGCTGGGGGACTGGACTGCACAAAGTGGCCACAACTGCTGCACCACAGTTGTTCCTACACACCGCAGTAACTGCTTACAGACCTGCTGTCTGAGGATTAATTTAATTCCTTTTGAACCTGCCTCCACAACTTCTTTTCACTCAACTACTCCACTCTTTAGTCTACTGAACTACTAAGTATTGTACTAAAAAAATGTAACCTGCAACAGCTCAAGAACTCCTTAAGCAGAAAGGGTTCAGAGAGTACGTCCAACTTCTCATTTTTACTTTTCTCTAGCTATTCGCTTTTGGCAGTCGTTAGAGCTCAGACACCAAGTTAAAGACAGCTTTAGTCTAAGCCAGCATGGCCATTGCCACCTTCTAACACTTGGAGAAATTCTATAGTTGTCAAAATGAAACCAAATAATTTTAATGGCCCCTTCAGGCTTTAATCCATCAAAGCCTCAACTGTACTCCAGCAATGCAAGACTAAATGCTTGGGGCAGCTCCAGCAAAGGGGAAAAAGAAAGACAGCAGAACTGTACTGATCCCCAGAAACCCAAAGTGGATCAGACAACATAGGAAATATATCTCAAAATTATAGTAATGTATTATATTCAGGAAATAAGATATTAGATAGTTAAAGGTAATTCCAATTAGTTCATTAAGAAACATGTTTAGTCTGTAGACTTAAGTTTTGAAATACTTAAGGAGGAGGTAGTCTGTGGAGGACTGTGGTAGGCTGACCCTGGCTGGACACCAGGTGCCCCCCCCAAAGCCACTCTATCACTGTCTATCCTCAGCTGGACAGGGGAGAGACAATACAATGAAAGGCTCATGGGTCGAGATAAGGACAGCTAGAGATCACTCATCCATTACTGTCACCAGCAAAACAGACTCAACTTGGGGAAATTAGTTTAATTTATTACCAATCAAGTCAGAGTAGGATAATCAGAAATAAACCCAAATCTAAAAAACACCTTCCCCCTACTCCTCCTTTCTTCCCGGGGTTATCTTTACTGCTGTTTTCTCTACCTCCTCCCCCCCAGGTGGCACAGGGGAACAGGGAATGAGGGTTATGATCAGTTCATCACGTTGTCTCTGATGCTCCACGTCTCATGAAGGGCACAAATACTGTGGTCAACTGACTAGAGATGGTCTGCACAAGTGCACCATTTGAACAGAACTGCATCTCTTGCCAAGCCAAGATGAAGGTGCCCCTGTCTTCTGATGCACAATGTCTACTTGTGGCTGAAGAGAAGAGTTCCTAACTGTGACCAGGAATATCCATGCACACACCCCATAACCAGGTCCTTTTGGTGACATGGTGGGTAAACTTTTGGACCCCTAACAAGCAGGGGAGGAGAAACAAGGCAGGAAAGCAGCCAAACCAATCTACAGATTACTCCCAGTTTGAGAGTCCTCAGGAAGGAGTGCACCACAGGCATACAAGAAACTGCATGAATTATTCCAGGGAGTTCAGCATGACTCACAACTACGGGTTTTTCAGAGTATAAAACAGCTTCTTGTGGTTCCTTACAGGTTAGGTCAAGGCAAAAAAAAACAAAAAAAAAAAACACAGAAGACTAATTAAAGTATCTCTGATCCCAAAATGCAGTTTCTTAGTAGGATTTGATAGTATCTTACCAGACCAACAAAGTTGGGGGGAAAAAAGCAAAATAAGTGGGAGGGGGAGGAGAGAGAGAAAAAACTTAAGGGACACAAGCCTCTTCAAGTCTGAAACAGAAGCAGCAAGCTTCAAAGGGAAATGCAAGTTGAAAACAACTGCTGAGTTGAATTAGATGTTTATCATACCATCCAGGAGAACGCTATCACTAAAATAATGCATTCAAGCATGAGATTAGTTATTTGTACTCTCAAAAGCAACGGTCTGGCTACACCCAACTGAGATTTCTTTGTATTCCATCACTGTATTATTTGTTTACAAAATATCTGAAACATTGTTTCTGTACCTCAAGAAGACAAAAGGTCTGTGACAAGTAGTGCTTGGGGAGGGGTGGGAGCAGAAACCATCAGGAACAACTACACTGCATTCAGCAACTGATACTCAAACAGACACTGAACCAGAGATTTCCTGTTCAGGACAGATTTATAAACCTCAGGCAGCACAACAATCTAAATACGCCAGATTAACAGAAACACAGTTTTAATACTACGGAGTCTGAAAATGGCTTAAGAGATCAAAACAATGGTAGAGCGAATAATGTTTAGAGTAAAAAGAATGCACGAGGAAATGTGTCTCCAACACATTCCTGCAGCAACTCAATCTGATTTAGGCAATCATAAAAATTAATATTTACTTTCAGTTTTTCTTCTGTCCTTTGTTTCACTCTACACATTCATTTATCTACATGAAGTCAAGCAGGAAATTCTTCAACCAAAGGATACTATCTTGGGTTTAAAAAAAAAAAAAATCTCTCTCAAGCTTAATAACACAAATTGTAATACTGTAGAAGACTAGTTAGTAATTGGGAGCCAGAGGACTGCAACTGCCGGTGATCCTGCAGCACAAGGGACCTCTCTGGGCACGTGAGTTCAGCTGTTTGCTTAGGTGACTACAGTTTCCTGGAATCTCCTGGAAGAATCAGTCAGCCCTTTACCCCTCAAAAGAAAAAAATAAAAAAAATAAAAAAAGACAGGACTATTAAAACTGGAGGAAGGAAAAAAAAGAAGAAAAAAAGGCTTGGAGAGAGCTTAGTAACCTATCTGTGAATCTTCTTTCATTGGGGTTTGAATTGTCATTTACATTTGCTGAAAACAAGATCTTCCAAAATGTAAAGACAACCACAAGAAAGCATTCTTTACAGGACAAGTGGAGGGGTGAAAAAGCGTGTATTCAAAGCTGACAAA